TTATTATTATTATTATTATTATTATTATTATTATTATTATTATTATTATTATTATTATTATTATTATTATTATTATTATTATTATTATTATTATTATTATTATTATTATTATTATTATTATTATTATTATTATTATTATTATTATTATTATTATTATTGTTATTGTTATTATTGTTATTATTATTAATTGTTATTATTATTAATTATTATTATTATTAATTATTATTATTATTATTATTGATTAATTATTATTTTATTATATTGATTAATTAATTATTATTATTAATTAATTATTATTATTCACTATTTTTAACGAAATTTTCACTTTTCGAAATATGATTCTGCTATTACTGTCTAATTATTCAGTGAAGTGGGTATTCTAGTTGTTCATGTTCGTTTATCCACGTCTCGTAAGTGCTCGTGATCGTTGATTATATTAGAGAGCTTCGAGTTTGCTGGCTTTAGGGTAAATGCAACTGCGTCTTTTTTAGTTTGTTTAAAGTTTTTTTGAGGGTCTACTAACCAGAAAGAAAGGAGAGGAATTTTAGCTCAGATGCCACCAATATAGAATTCATTAAATTTCAAGTTTTGCATTCACTTTGTTGAGGCAGTCTAAGGATCAGTTTTTATGTAGTACGCTAGGAATTAAATTTAATCAAATATCTTTAACAATCAAAATCAGCATCCAGGGATGTGCGCTGCTGGAAACAATGTCTAGAGTTTCAATAATGGATGCGGGATGCGAAGGCTCTCTGCAGGATGATGCAGTACGGTTGCAAGAGCGACCAATAAGCCAAATATCGACGCATATATAACAACATATCACACTTAAGCGTGCTTCAATATAATTTACTTGTCAAACTATTCAAGAAACCGAATGATTTGGTTAATTGAAAATTTATTTTTGTAGAACTTGCCAAATTTGTACAATAAGTTTTTCTAAATTTTTCCAGTTGTTATTTAGCATTCGTGTCATTTCATGTATTCATGATCATCTTATAGCTTTCATTCCATGCTTCATTCAAAATTTTTGTAGGTGTACAAATCCTCTGCATCAGTCCTCTCTCCTCACAGAAGTCTGGAATATACATCCTTGTAATTTTTGGGATTCACTTCGCTTTTCGCTTTCCGGAATACCCACGTCGTTCAGGTACACTTCAGCACTAAAGTGACCAAAAAATTGTGTGGAGGAGAAACTTTATAGTTTCCCAGAAATTAACGTAAGTGTGACCTGCCTTAATTGATGAGATTTCAACTTTTTTAAAAATGCAATGTTCATAGCATTTGGCAAGTAGTTGTTACCATTCCCTATAACTGTGATTTTTTTTAAGTTGATTTGTTCCTCTTGACTGTTGAAGTTATATTCTTTTATATCATTGGAACCTTTTTACGTTTTCATGATTGTAGTCATTATAAGTTCACCAATTAATCTCGAAGATTTGAACAGTCCAGACCTTCTTTTTACATGGATACCAGTACATGGTTTCTCTATCTTTGATTGTCTGTTTGGATATTACATTGTTTTTATTGTATTCCGTTACTTACTGGTTAATATGACTTTGACGACTTGGAAAACCTGGTCCTCAAATTATTTGATTTTAAAGCAAATTCTTGTAAATGGTCAGGGTTTTTAAGGAAAAATTCGTGCTGTGCATGCAAGATTTGGTAGTCAATTTAAATTTGGAAATAGTAGTCATGCTTGACCAGTTACTTGAAGTTTTCCTAATCTTGTGTTTGAGTCCATTTGTTCCACATAATTAGTTTCAGTTCAGCCATTTGCATTCAATCATCCTCGCTGCGAATCCAACGTATAAATCCTTTCAGTGTTTATTTTTTCTGAAGTTTGATTTTTCCATCTTCATTTCTCAATAGCATTGTTTGAAGGAGTTCCAAAATTTCTACAACTTTTAAAAGGTAAAATTTCTACAACTTTTACGAAAATATGAAGGAAGCTTTTGAGACACGTTGAATGCATATGAATTTTCTTTTGTCTTGCTGCTACTATATAAATCTGTGCGCTTAACTTGTACTGTATTTTATAATTGTTTCTAGCATTATGCAATATTCACAAAAAACGTGAAGAAGTTATAAAATAAAAATTAAGTCATCTCCTTAATGAAATAACATAAAATGAATAGGTATGCGACGTCTAAATCACGTCAACAAATGACGCTGGATAAACAATATTTTATGATGGTTTTAAACGCGCATGAATTCTCTTGTATTGGTGCTACTATATAAATCTATACGCTTCATTTGTACTGTATTTTATAATTTCTCCGTGAACATCACCGTTACGGTCGTTTAAGAAGTAATTCGTTACTGTTTACTTGCAAGAACACTCTTGCAGTTCTCCAGAGAGATTCGAAATTCTTTTTTTTTAAACGCTAATCGCATTAACGTCGGTCACTTTGGGCGGAGCACCACGTAGGCAGAGAAAAAGCGTTGCAAAGTTGGCCAGTAATACCACTGCAAAACTATGTTAGATTCCAGTCTTGTCAGCACATTTATTTCCACAGATAACGCACAACTTGCAGAAAAGGATATTTCCAATCAAAGTAATGCTTATTTGAGCATTCTTAGCTCAGCAACACGAGCAGCATTCAGCTTTCTTTCTACCAGTTTACGAGGTCGCCATTTTTTTTACGCCATTATTCGAATCCGTTGGACAGATTTAAATTTTTAATTTCCTCTTCTTGATCACTAGTAAGTCATTCAGCAAATTGTGTTTCACAATAAAATCCGATCCTGATGTCCTACTTGAGCAAAGGTTGGGCGAATCGAATTACAGTGAGAAGCATGTATTTCGAAAAGGGACACAAAATTCTGCGTCCGATTTCTTTTCTGTTTTTATTACAGTTGGCACTCTTATAAAACTCCTTTCCTGAGATGGTACCGTAACTCTTAAATATAGCTTATTAAAGTTTTTTAATTGAAATTGTTTCATGTTTGTAATGTGCCTTAATGGACTGCGATAAGAAGAGATGTTTGTATCTTCAGTAGTCCAATTAAAGCAGAACTGCTTGAGTAGGAGACAGTGCAGTTATCTGCAGTAACAATGTATTGGATATTGGATTTGGATTGCTGTCGTTTTTAATTCATTCTAAAGTATGTCCAAGGCAAACTTCCTTGAAAAGTGAGAACAGCTTAGAAAAAGATCATTTCAAGACCATATACATATTTAAAATATATTTAAAATATTTCATATTATATGTTAATATGTGACTTCCGTAGCTAGGATCTACGTTATCCAAAGAAGTGGTCGAAAGACGTCTTCGTATCCTAAGGAGATAATCCCACAAATGAATATTTCACTAAGAAAATTTCGCAGTCCAGGTGAAAACTTCTGGGTAACAACATATAATATACAAGATCGAAGAGCTCAAGGTAATGTTGTATTGCAGATTGCTAACAAATTTGTTTTCAAATACTCTTCAGACAAAAACAAATCTTTATCTTCATATTCTATAAATGATGAGACTTTTGTTTCTAGTATTTTCTGTGAAGAAGATTAAAATATAAGTCTTCAAAGTAAACGAAAGAAGTTGAATTGATGTATTGTTGCTGTGTTTTTTATGTATCCCAGCATTTATGTGATACACAGAAATGATACACAAAAAATTTTAAACACTATAACAAACTAATGGATAACAGCCTATAGAGCAAACTATTATACATATATGTACGTACAAAATAACATAACTCCCTCGAAGCAAAACTAAAAAAAACAAAATTTTTTAGCCATGCATATTTAACAAAAGCAACCGAAATGGCCGAACAACTGTAACACATATACCAATGTAATTTGCATATTTCTAAAAAATTCAAAATTTTGGCAATTTATCTTTATTTTCTCCTGACTGCTTTCATCCGGTTGTTTGATAATCGAATTTCTTCATTCTCTCAAATTACGGCTGGAATCAAAGCATGACTAGTAAGCTAAATTATTGGTCATTGACGCTGTAGAGAAGGGTACATCACGCTGAAACACAGATGCATTGAGATTGAATAATTCATTTGGGAATTTGACTATGCGATTGTAGAAGTAGCGCACAAATATAATACAAGTTTAAATTTACTCAGTAAGGCATTTGAAAATTTGTTATTCTGATTAATACTGCCGACAATAGATGAGTGAGAGAAAAAATGTACTGCAGATATGAATGACGAATTCTCTTCTGTGCCGGAAACACTGGGTGAACGATTGGAACATCTGAAAAAGAAATACAGTGAATATATAGCGCGAGAGCCGAATGCGCCGGAATGGTTCTCCCGCGACCACAATGAAGAACAGCGAGGACCAGACGGTATTTTATGGTCCGCACCTTACGATGTACGATATCCGCAGTGTAAGGCGACTCGACATTGCTTCGACTACTATGTAGATTATCACCGCTGCACCACATTGCTCGGTGAAAAACACGACCCTTGCAAATTTTTCCGAAACGTTTACATGGATTTGTGCCCCTTACAATGGATAGCGACGTGGAATGATCAGGTGAAACAGGGCATTTTCCCTGCTAAATTTAACCGATAAATCGATCTCTTTTATCTGAATAGGAGTCTCTTAGGGCATAATTCTTCAATGTCTTCGCAATTCCTTCTATTATATATTGACTGTGTATGACGCCTATATACTGAGCGAAGTCTGAAATGTGCAACATCTAGTGCAGAAGAATTAAGCCATTTAGTGTGAAAGAATTACTGCTCAATAATTAAGGAGACAGGTGGTCTCTACCTTCGTCACTGGTATCACTACCAAGAATGAATTAAACAAAGTATTTTAAAGTGCATTTCAAATCTAAAGATGATGGCTTTGGATGTTGAGAATCGCTGATTCTTCAGTTCTTTAAACTTTGTAATCTGCGCTAGTAATCAATTAGCGAAGAAAAAAGGAAATGATTGGACAATATTCGTAATAGTTAAACTTACTTAGTTTAATTTCGAGCATTTTTGAATTTCACTCTTTCCCATTACTGACATAAACTTTATATGAATAAAACCATGTGAATTTCTTTGAAACAGTGAAATTGTACGTGTTATGTTAAATATAATATGTATGTTAAAATACATTTCACATTCACTTTTTACTTACTTATAAGAAAACAAGTATTTAAGAATTTCTGGAAAGTACGGATATCAGTACAAAATATTTAGAAGGAGGCAAAGAGATTTTTTTGCATTAACTTTGCTTACGAAAGAACAATAGGTTCCCTTGGTATGTGAAGTAAAATTAAAGTGCATGGGTTACACAGAGTTAACTGGTGTGGGTCCCTGATGTAGGAAAGTACGAATCATCCATGAAAGTTTGCCTTATGCACCCATACTCACAAAAATCCCCAGCAATACGTAGAAAATACGATTTTCATGGCTGATGTCGTGAGAAAATAAAAGAAAGGGAGTTAAGAAGGTGAGGTAGATTGTTATTGTTCGTTGTAGAAGCTGTTATAATTTTAAAGAATGACTTACAGTGTATCGGTTCGTTTTGTGTTCGAAACGTACAACAGATTATCCCTTATTATCGTCTGGATACCAAATACAGTAAAGATAGGTTCAAATAATTCCAATTACAATAGAATGACTTCCAGGGTAAAGCCAGTAGAATGATGAGATTTTGTAAGGATTAGTAGATTGAAGAGTGTTTGCGTGAACTTGAGTGTGCGACAGATGGGATTTTTGCAACAATGAATAATTCTTAGGTTTTCTTATGTTTATATAAGGAGTGTGTAAGGAGAAAGGAAAGAAATACGGTGCTTAACAGATATTTAGAGATAAACATGTTGGATATAAACATGTTTATAAGATTAGATATTTCTACAGTATGCCCATCCATGTTTATAAGATTCGTTGTCATCCAGATGTGCGCAAATCTCAACATCAGATAAAGCTTCTTTAGACGATTTGAAGATTAGATAGTTGACTCATGACCTTAGGCATGAGAGAGAAAAACAGATGTAAAATGGAAACTATTTGAATGAATAATTTCATGATACAATTATTTCGGTTTTTACG